TAATACAAAAAATCTACACAGATCGCTGCCATACGATTGTTAATTGTAAAATGTAAGGTGTTTCCAAACTTATGGAGGGTACTGTATATCTTTAATTAATTCAATAATGAATGAAATTGCGATAAATAAATGTATTCGTATGCATAGCTAATATTGAAAAAATAATAGTATTATTTATATATGCAAATTGTAATTTCTCGGATAGAAGTGTAAATATGAAAATAAGATTCCGCGCTAAAATATTCCGATTGGAGAGAAACGGAGATTTAAAAAAGCTGACGTCAGGACACGGCTTACGGATGGGAATTAAAAGCATATATACCAGGCGACACGCGGCGAGTCATTAGAGATCAAGGTCGTCAGGATCGAAGTTTCACTCTGAGTAATAATCTAATATTGAAATATGAATAAGAAAATTCAAAAGAAAGAAAGAATTGCAAAGAGGTATCTGCTGAAGAGAATTGTATCGTCTTATAAGACTGCATCGACTTAAAGTCTTTATCCTTCAATTAAGCCTGGTAACAAGCGAAAAATGTACAAGGACATGTTCAAAATCGTGTCTATTGAGAACTGTGTTTTACACGAACGATAAGATCATTATTCCACTCGACAATTCGCGAATCTCGTTTCACTGGAGTCGAGAAGGTTAAACGTATACTAATATGGAAAGTGCGGTATTAAGCATGACCTCAGGTTTTAAGAGCTGTACAAAATGATACATATATTTTGATGGATATATTGATAGATACTGGAGAATATATATAGATAATTGTTATTAAATTAAAATTATGTCCCAATAGTTATTTAGTAATTAATAATCACATATGTAAATCTTTTCAGATATATTCTTTAGTTTCGTCTCTCCCAATATCATTTATGTTATATTGTGAAACAATTTTAATTTAAACAAAATATATTTAATTTATGAAAAAGTATTTTAAATGATTGCATAATTAAATATCTGATTTGAAAAAGGAAATACTTCATTTGAAATTGAAATAAGTGTCTATAATTGGATGGCCAAAATCAATGTAAGCTATTAATGTAGGTAAAACGAGATTGGAACATATAAAAAGTACATTAAATTATATTAAAAATGAATGGTATCCATCTTCACAGTCAAATATTGAGTTACTATTAATTATTAATAGAATAAACCCGAAATCAGTTTTATGCTAATTTTATTAAATTTAATTTTCCATTTTATAGAAATATAATTCATGAAAGAAATAGAAGAAAAACACTATTCTCTAAAATTAATTAAATCAGGTTATTGATCCGGTGCAATTATTCTTATATCACAGTACACATTTCCTAGTACAATTAATAAATCAATACGTGATTTAATTTTAGACCGTCTCTAGTGCATTAAGTGCAATTGCCTTATACGAACCATCATTTTCGAGTCCCTCATTTACGACTGGCTTATATGCCTTTTTAGGAAACGCCTGGAATTTCAAGCAGTTGCATAAATCGGTCGAGGTGTGTAGTTTAAAATTCTTCATAAAAATATTCAATACGTATATCGTAAACATATCGTAAAATCGAAGCGCACAGACTATGTGATCACAGCAAATTACGTTTGCTCCACATCTGAAATTGTAGCGAGAACAGGTATGCGATATTTCATTCTGCGTGATCTCGGCACGTTTGCACATAAGCATCCACATATACGGCCAAGAAACAGTTACATTTTTGTACCGCACATAATACACAGTCACGAAACCGGAAATGATAATTACCGCAACGAGTGGGACTGTCTACAATCGCGAGAAATAGATTCGAAAGGAAAGAGCATTTTTTGCGTGGTTCTATAATTAAATAAATGGAAGTTTGCAAAAAAAAAACAACAAATTAGAGAATATGAAGAGCATTGCATCATCAGACAAATGTCGCAAAAATAAATTTTCGATTATTAAACTTGTCACATAAACTTATCATAAATGTGATAAACTTTCTGTTCTTATAAAAAATTAAAGATCGAGGTCGACAATCCTCGAGTTTATAAGAAATTTCTCTTATACGTGTTCCCACAACTCAATCGAGCGATACGATCAATAATCGTAATTAAAATTTAAGTTTAAGCCGGCATTATATAAAAAGACTTGGGCTTTTTGTAAAAAAACGAAATTTGCATCCATGATATATAACATATAAATTTACTTATATATTTTTAGATATTATAAATGCAGCTATTTATTATGGTTTTTATTGGCACACGTTTCTCAGGAAATTTAAAACAATAATTTTTCCTTTACTGTCCAAAAATGACAACGTGATATTTTCTCTGCCATTCGTTGTTGCAAGATGATCAGAATGAGTTTCATAAGATTAATCTTTCATAAGACTTCAGATTTCGCAAATGTTATATATCACTTTTATTCAGCTTAATTCTCTCATTTATACACTCTGTTCATTTTTCTACATTTATAAACGTATTATAATAAAGAAGACTACGAATAAATTTATTTATAAATTCAAAAAAGTATACGCAGAGTATAAATATGATCAGCTGAATAAACGTGATGTAAAATTGAAAGTTATTTTGATCATCTTGCAGCAACGAATGACAGAAAAAAATGACATTGTCATATTTTGACAATGTTTCGAAATAAAAATTATTACCCGAAAAAAATGAATCGAATATAAATGAGAGAATCGCGTTGAAACATGGATGATATAAAATTGCAAAATCTTACGAAAATGATTTTGGTCATCTTGCAGCAACGACGAACAGAGAAAATCGTACTCTCGTATTTTGTTAGCAGTATATTTCGAAATAAAAATTACAGTTTGCAACTTCCTGAGAATATCTCTCTTATCCCATAACAAGACCATGATGAATATACTTGTCCGTCGTTCGCAAGTTCGGTGAAAGGAAAAAAAGGGAGAAATGCCGGCATGTTTGCCGGACGTGAGGGCACAACTGGATGAATAATCTCGGTGGGAAGCAATCTCGCGCGTGACCGAGGCGTAAGTAAATCTCACGTGCACGCGCGCGTAGATATCATCGATCATAATTAGCTCGATACACGCGAGAAACGAGACAGGAAGTTAGATACCTGTCGACGGAGGGCGCGTTCATACCGGAATCGATAACGGCGTCGTGGGGTGGCCAGGATGCAACCCCGACGACGATGATGCACGTCGCAGGTAAATGGGTCGCGCGACGTAAAACACGCGCGCGCACGCGCATCTGTCAGCCACGACTCAGCATCACGTCTTGCTCCGATTTTCGCGAAAGTCAGCCGAGATTCGCCGTGACTGCTTTCTGTCCTCTGTGCCCTCTGGAGCCTTCGGTACTGTCGAATAATTGCTCTGCCGGCTCTCTTTCTCTCTCCACTACTCCCTCTCTCTCTCTCTCTCTCGGTATCTGTCGGAATTGCTACTTATCTCGCAACTCACCTGCGTACACCTGTGCGTCTGACAGCGCCGTTCTCCGGAAGCGGCGTCTAAAATCCGCGGGCGCGAAAAGCGATCCGGTCCGTGACACACTCGCGGACTCGATCAAACCGCGTGGGTGACAAAGGAAAAGGGTGACAAGCAGGGTGGTAAAGAATGACGAGGGGTCGAAAGAAGGAGGAACAGGAGGCGCGGAAGAAGGAAATGGGCTCTCCAGATGAGACAGCGTCGAAGAAAGAGACGAGGACTTCTTCCGTTGAACCGGGACTGGTCTCTCGCGAAAGTACGAATTTCTTCTTAATCTAAGACCTGTGAATTTGTCGTATCACGGGGAGGAAGGCGCGACGAGAGCCCGAGGAGAGCACACGGCACGCGCGCGACTCTCTATCGCGGCGGCATTTTCACTGAGGAAACGGCGACAAGAGAGAGCTCTTTGCGGCGAGACCCCCTCCGAGTCGGCGGAGCCCCGTTTTCGTAAAACGCTTACGGACTCTGCGCGTATCGGGAGCGACCGGAGCGGGCTACGCATGCGCTTCCATTCACAATGGGCACGCGCGAACGCGCGCCGTCTCTTATCAACGATGAACGTCACGTCGGTGCGGGGGCGAATTTCATCCCCTCTTGTGCGCGAAGGAGAGAGACGCGAGCGAGACGGGGTTGGTTTCTGACATACCCTAACTTGTAAAGTGTTTATTATCTTGAGAATAATGTCAACGGAATTTAGATTGATTAGCTTGGTCAACATTTTAGAGAGAGAGAGAGAGAGAGAGAGACATAGGGGGTTGAAATATTTAAAAATATTAATGAAAAACGAGAATAAAATATATAAATATTGATTTTAGCTTGCAAAGATGTTAACTTTTATATAGGCAGATTGCTTCAACCAATATGGAGTTTAAATGTCAAGATAATCTATTTTCTCAATTTCTTTGCGTTTAATATGACGAAAGAAAAAGAAATGAGAATAAAGATATGCCAGAAATTGGTCATATTTGCCGATAGAAAAAGTTTATACGGTTTGATAGAAATATTATTCTATTTTTTATACTTATAGAAACTTCTTTTAAACAGTTTTCTCTTGAAATATATATTTCAAAATAATTAGTAATTAAATGTTATCATCTTATCTTTTCTATATCATAAATATAAGTAAGAATTATACTAATATATATTATAAAAAAGAGAAAGAAAGAGAAAGCGAGATTAGAAATTATACAAAGTATATCATGATCTCATCATTTCTTTTTAAGGAAAGATGTTACAAATCTTCTCTTATCAGTTTATATTTTACTCTCGAGAAGCAAATTTAGCCACGGTTATTTGAGTTTCTTATCTTTACGTTTTGATTGTAGGAGAAAATGATGCAGTTTTGGTGCAACAGAGAGAATGAGAGAAAGAAAAAGAATTAGAAGAGAAAACGTTTATAAAGTTGCCGTAGACGCAGATTTTAAGCTTACTAGACATTTTTATTTTATTTTAAAATTCCTTTTTCCTCGCGAAGAATTTGCAACAAAAAACTAATTAAAACTTGCGTCATTATTTTCGAAAAAACGTCTTGTTATATACGTGCATAATTGTGCGTAAAACAATGTTTTAAATATTTTTAAAAATTAATTTTTATATATTATAGCTTCCACTGAACAGATACATTGTACATTATCTCAGTGCTTCCGCTTATTGCTTTAAATAACGCAGAGAGTAAATAACGAAAATAGATATAGCCTTTAAATTGGATCTGGCACGGGAATTTTTGGCATACGACCTTCCATCATGTCACTCAATTGTACACTGATCTCCTGAGAGAAAATTATTTATTTAGTGTTTACGCATATATAATGCTCAAAATTTATGCTAATTTTTCAATTACGTTTCTTAAATAAGCTAATATGTTAATCTAATTATTAAACTCAAATTTTTATGCTCTTTTATTTTTTCAATTAATTATTATGCTCAAAATTTATGCTAATTTTTCAATTACGTCTCTTAAATAAGCTAATTATGTTAATCTAATTATTAAACAAACATTGATTGATAAGATATATATATACACATACCTCTTCTCGCTGCATTCTCAGTCTATCGATAATGGGCTCGTTAAAATTAGGGTCATTGCTAGGGTCCTCCAAAGTACTTTCGTCGTTCCGTGATACTTGCGGTATACGAGATATATAGATCTGTTTGATAGTGTCTAAAATTGCCGACGGTCTCGTTTGAGGGAACTGCAAATCGATTCGTCCGAAAGAATCCACGCCCGCCGGCATCATTAATGGCTTCTCGTAATCTATGCACTTTTCCTCCCTTGCGATTTATTCGATACGTTAATGACATTTTAGACATTTATCACAGATATAAATTTAAACAAACAATAAACGTTGAAATTTATTACAAAACATATATTATTTGCAAGTGAATATCAAAGACTTACGTGGGTGAAGAACCGAATCCGTATTGAGATAATAGATCCTTAAGTCGTCGTACGAGAAATTTATCTTTAGACGAATAATAATAAAGACTTGCACCCAGATGGTGAGCTATTGCTCTCAGTATCTTGCCAATAAATTCTTTTTTATCCAAGTCGAATTCCTATTGCGACGGTTAACACAGAATGGAATGCAGGAGTTAAACAAATTTATTGAAATATCAAAAGTACAAGATGCTAATTTTATCGAAGAAATTTAGAATTTAATGAAAAATTAGTTTTAACTTATATATATAAACTTTCTTATAAACAAAATACATAAATTTTTAATATTATTTGATTAATATGATAATTGTGGTATAGTAATCTTGGAAATAAAATTAGTATAGTATTTCTCAACTTTGTCTACCATCTGTTATAAAAAAATTTGTAATTTCTAGACCAGAAACTTTTTTAAAACTAGATATAATTAAAATAATATATGTATACATATAAAATACCTTGAATTCATCATATCGTCCACCTAAGATACATATCTGCATCGGGAATGGATCAACTCCGCGTTCCAACTCTTTTTTTCTATCTGCTATTCTTTTTTCCCGTAATTCTTGAATTACGTCGGAATCATAACTCATTTTTAAACCGTTTCGTAGCGTAGAAAGGCTTTCCTCGAAAGAAATCCATAATTCTTCTGGTCGTGATAAATCCAGCATCATCAATAACACAGTATGATGAGGGGAATTTGTTAATGTAGATCCGGTCATTGCGACGGATACCAAAGAGGAAGCCAAGTGACCCACTTCCCACACGTGCACTATATTTTTCACCTGCACACACACGCATACATACCCACAGTGCATACTATCTATACATTTAATATTTTAATGGTTTAACAAGAGTTTTAATGCAATTAACAGATAATATTTTAATTATAAATATATTACAATAATTGCTAAATAATTATTATGCGAATAAATTTATTTGATCAAGTTTGTAATCGGGAGAAGAAAAATAGAAGGAAAAAAATATATATTATATATTTTATAATTTTCCAATGTAAAAGAGAGGAAAAGAGAACGTATATTGTTTAAAAATATATTTTTACAGATAAATGAATGTTATTGCTATGTAGCATTACTTACTAAACTTTTCACAGTTTTGCGACCAAACGAATAATCCATCGCTATAGTTGGTTTTGGCCTTTCGTCTTTTTCTAGAAATCGATATACCATTGTTGTCTTACCCTAGAAATGTAACTGAAAATGCAAAGTACGTCGCAACACAATACAGTATATACATTCCCCTAATTTTATCACTTACAATTCCCTTGCTGCCAAGGACAATAATGGATCGTTCGTGAGTTTCGTTTGGATCAGTCTTGCGTCTGTTTTCTTCTTCTATAGCGAGTCGTAATGCAGTTTCCCGCATAGATTCCTCACTATAAAGTCAACTTTATTATAATTCTGGTATGTTAAAAATATATGATAACAAGTAGATAATATATGATAATTAGTAGATAATAGGTAGTAGAAGTATCGTAAATTATTTCTTGACTAAGTTTTATATATTTTTATTAAGGATTCATATATGGGTTTTCTTTTTAAATCACATAATTATTTGCATTACTGATACGCCAAATGATGAAAAACATTTTTATAAAGATACTCTCGGCACACATTAATGGTTTAATTATAATTATTTAATTTAATAGAGCATTATAATAATACATGTTTCTTTTTATATTTACAAAGAGCTAACGAGTTAAATATATACAGAATAAATTAGTCACCGATTTTCTGCAGACATTGTTTTTAAAACAATGAAGAATAATACTATAAATTGTATTCGCACAATTCTGTTCTGTCAGGTTATGTTTTTCTTTTCGTTACTATAGAGACAGATGAGCGATCAACTCATACCATTTGTATCTTGCATGATGTAAATTTGTATTTATATTATTGCAGAGAAGAATGATCGGTATACAATGTATATAATGTGCAATAGAGCACAGTCTTCGATGTAGCTGTTTAAAAATGATAAATAATTAATTTATATATTATTCGGCATTCCTTAATGTCCAGTCTTGCGATTTACAAAGTTTAGTACATTAGGCATTAGGTTTCATTTACATTTAAATAATATTATATTAGTCCATCTTTCAACTGCAGTATCATTAATCCTCTATGTGTTGATCCTCATAATACATTATGCAAGAGAGTACAAGGTATAATAATTTACATTTAATCGTTTTTCTACGTAACGCCTCATTTGTATGCGTAATGATCTAATACGAGGTCATCAGTCTTAGTAAAGAAATATCCATAAAGGAATATCTTTTATTTTATGGTAATCAACTCTGACTACTTTCATTTAATTTCGATTATTCAAAGAGTTTTACAATATTCATGTCTGATCATAACGCATTCTCGCATTCTCTTTTATAAATCTGTTTACAAATTAGATCGATTACTTTTTGCGTACCTTCTTTGCGTACATTATGTACAATTTTCAGACTAGATAAAATCAGGAATGCATATTACAATCAAGACGCAATAAGATTTAACATTTTTCAAACCGATACATATATATGCAAAAGTTTTTTTAAGACGAAATTTGCTCATGATTACAAACTCATCGTCTTTCATATATAAGTATAATTAATTATTTATTATGTAAGAATCGTGTGAGATTACAAATTATAAAGAAAATTATCGTAAAGTAATATGAGCGGTTTTTTTCTAAAGAACTAAAATGATGAGTACACACTATTTTTATAATTTTTTTTAGGCGTAGACTACACATTTTTTATTTTATTTTAACAGCGTGTTATAATTAATGCACAGTCAATTTAATAATAAATATACATTAACAATTAAATCAGTCGTGTTTATCTTGTTTTTATTTTTCAAATTTTAATTTAAATAATTTTACAAAATTTTTAATTTTATATATATATCATCAATATATACATTGTATGTTATACAATTCGTTTCAATCTAATTATTGTTGAAACTCTTGTTATGAAGGAACATCTTTTCCTTCAGACAAAACATTTAATTTTTGAAAATATAAGAGCTGTGCGCATACTAAATATAATACTAAATATAATATCATACATAAAATTTACAGTTATTATGCTTGATTTTATTACGACATCATAATACTTGTAAAGGATAACTTTTAATTGCAAAAAAATAAATTTTACACAAGAAAGAAAATACTGTTCTTCTTTGCAATCTTTTCGTCCACAACCATACACGTATATATTCGTTTTAGAAAATAAAATTTTTATGAATATATATCTACGATAGTGATATTTATATATATGTATATATATTTTTATAACAATTTCTTGAACACTATGGTCGGTAAAAATATTTAAGAGAGGCATGATATCATTATATCCGATGTAACCACAAAATTATAATATTAAATGTGAAAACAATGAGTGTTTGTGATATAAGTTGTTAATTAAAAAAAAAAATAATGTTAAAGGGTTAATAGGAAATAAGTTATAATTATCAGTTGTGTGAAAAATTCACTTTTTTAATATTAAATGTTCTATATTTATAGAAACATCGTGTTTGTTGTTCTCCTTATATCAAACTAATGAAACTGTATCGCGATTTGTCAGCACATATGTATCATGTTATTTAGCATTAATTATTCAAAGTTTTCATAATATTATGAATCATAAATCCATTGCAAGTAATATTTCTTTTATAAAATTTATCGGGCAATCGGTGAACGTTGATATCATATGCTTTATGTTTCATATATTAACTAGTGATACAAGGAAGACGAACGTGTGTCACAGAGATTAGTCACCTTTTTCTATAATATTTCATTGCTTCTATAATGCAGTATATCACGCGCTCTGCATGTTATCTAGTCCATATGTCACTCATCCAATCGTCGTTTAACTCTTCGCTCGGTAGTACTTGCAATTTTCTCAAAGCTTCGAGATAAAATGTGAGTTCCGACGTGACCACGCCATGTTGCGGGCCACCATTGTTTACTATATTCATTTTAACCAATTGCTCCCTAAGTTTCTCCTTGAATGATGAATTTACCGTACGGTAAAGAGATTGTACTTCGACAATAGGCAAAATTCCAGAGACAGCTTCGTGAAGCTTCATTAGGTAACTGTGTAAAAAAAATATATATTTTTAAAAAGAAGGGTATATGAAAAATCACGTAATATTCAACATATATTGTGACATTTACCTAGAAATATTTTTAAAAGATTTAGATGGCACCGGAGGTTTTGCTGTCCATTTGGATATTTGTCCTCCCAGCAAATTGTCTACGATAGTGAGAATTTTCCCTTCAATCTCACGTACATGCGCGCGGATGTCCCTTTCAACGCTATCTAACAAAGCCACCCCTCCACTTATACCGGATGTGCCAATGAATCCTCGACTAGGATTTTGTTCTGTGAGTGCTGTATATTAAAATATGTATAAATATTCGCTTAATCTTGATGCCACTTTTGATTTAATGTAAGAATATTTGATACTTTATTTTACGACGTGGACACTTACTTTGGAAATGTGTCTTGGCAAAGGGCATAAACCACAATATAAGCTTGAGACTTCGCGCCGCCAACACAAGTATCGTACTTGTGATGGTTTTTAAGCCTGCGACTTGCATTGCGCCCGCACCCAAAACCAATTGACAACATCGAGAATTATAATGTCTCAATAATTCGGCTAGTTGTCTTCCTATGGTTCCAGATAAGGCGACCAATTCACTACCGGTCCTAAGAGAAGGTCGTATGTTACGTTATGCAAAACTTATAAACAGACACTGTCTTTACCTGCAATACTCGTGTATCATCTGTATAAGCATCAGAGCAGTACCAACAACGGCAAATTTCTCATCACCGACCATGATAAAATTTTCTACACCTTCATTTCTCATGCCATCCTCGCGCGTAAATATTTTAAGCGGAAAGCACTTGTTCTCGTATACATATGTCACTAGCGATTGAAATTCTAACGGTACGTCAGCTTGTTTCCATCTTTCCGATTCCAGTAACAGCGTTAATTTAATTTTGCGTTCATTATGAAAACGTTGTACAAATTTACTCGCTTGTGCCTGTAAATAGAGATCATATGTTGACGGAAGAATTAGTTTACTTGATAACGCTTAAAAGTCAATTTTATACGAATACATATACCGTGTGCGTAGATGCTAATTACCTTAAATGCCGATCGTAACGCCGTACATTGTTTGCCGCAGAGTTTCTCGCAAGTGTATGTAAATTCTTCGACCATATTGGCCAATTGACAAACCTGAGCGGTTGTTGCTTTCTCGCTCAACCAAGAACCCTTATCGTTCCACGTTTGACTTTCTTTATTTTCCTCTAATTTATTCTGCGAGGCATCAGCAATAATCTTGTCGTTGTGAAGTTTATCCTTCTCGTTTGTCCCCGCCGAAAGTAGATTGCCCATTCGCTCGTGGCAATAATCACATACAGAGGTAATCATGTCAGTAAGCTTGTTAATTACCCGCGTATGCTCTTCTTGAGTCAGTAATCGATCAGGTACTGATTCGTCAAACGAGCCGTCGCATAAACATCCAGCTGACAAGTCCGCTGTGTCTCTCATGACATCATGAACTGCCTATAAGAATATTTAATTATTAAATTATTTCATTATTAACGTTAAAATAATAAAATCATCAGAATTAATATATAATTAATATGAGAAACATAAAAAATATAATTGATAATTAAATAATTAAATTATCAATTAAAGTTAAATATTCTACTGTATAAGTAAGTAAAATAAAGATCTCATGTTTTTAAAATTAATTTAAAAAGGGATAAAAAAGATGAAGTTACGACCTTTCCAGATCGTATATACCTTAACTCGTAATAGAAGTGATGTAAAAGATTGTATAGTACTATGGAGCAAAGTTAATCTTTCCGTCAAAGAGAGTCCCCCGACTTCGAGAGCTGCCGCTTGCTGATCGCTACAACAGTCGCTCGCTGCCAGAGCTTCTATCACCCGTTGCTTCGTTAAGGCTCTTACAGTGGTCACAGCTTCCTCTTTGTACGTATCCACAAATTGAAAATGCTTTTGACGTAGCAGACCAGAAATGATGGAAACCAGTTTATCCTGTTCGTTGAGGACGTACAAATGATCTCACTGGGAAGAGATGTATGAAGGTTTGTTTGCTACGAACTAGGGATAGAATGCGATGCAAAAAAGTTGTGCAAGTACTTACACCGTCTAAAACAGTATTCTCGCCACCCAAAGGTCTATTGAGGTCAGCTGTCGCGTACCTTTGAAACTCAGTCGACAGCATCTTGTCCACGAGTTTCTCCATTTCAGTTAATTGAGAACTTAAATGTCTAAATAAAATAAATATACCACGTATATGTAACATTTTGATCATTCCTTCAGGAATTATTTCTTAAAGATTACACGGATGTGTATGACGAGTAATTAAAAATGATCTTTTCTGGATATTTACCTAAAGCTATGTATTCCGTTTAATTCCTGCAAGAGAATTTCTTGCGTCGTGGAGATAAGGTCTAATGCCGCAACGTAATCTGGCGTAGATAACAGTAATTGTATCATGGGTTGGCTTTGATGCACGGTTGCCATAAGTTTTAATTTCTCTTGTACTAATAATCTGTTAGACCTAGCACGTTCCAGGCTAAATAAAAAGAACATATATTGTGCAAAATATTTAGATTGATATTATTAATTAAATATATTATTACTGCATCCGCACCAAATGTCCCGAACAAGTCGTTAAAATGTCACGCATGCAAACGATTATTTTATTTGCGGATTAACAAAGAACATGAATAAGTTGAGAAATGCATTTTTAATTTGGCGTGGATGCAACAATAATATAAAATAAATATGTATGCTATTTTATATTTCCGTTTTATTTAATTTTGATATTTCTGTAAAATATATTACTGTTTTTAATGCATCTTTGAAATAAGTAGTTTATCTGTTGTGTATAATATTCACCGTAAAATTTCTAGAGAATTTTTGACTAGATGCTTATCGACTTGATGAATATTTTTCCTGAGGGCTTTCAGAACCGTAATGGTTTGAGTGAGTTGTTCCATAAGCGCGTCATGAGATGTCATTGCATGGAAAAAAGCTTGAGATTTCGACGCGACTTGCTCCGCTATTCGGACTTCCACAATGTCTAGATAGTGACTCAGCTGTTACATAATATTTTATAAATGTCAATGGCGAATTATTGAAACCTTGGAAATTAATTTTCGTGCATATATGTATATTTTTATAAAATAATTATTTTTTATAATCTGATAAAATATTAATCGAATGTAATGTTAGCAGCAAAGTATATTCTTCTTTTATTTATAATCCTACCTTTTCTTGCATTTGCTTCACATGCAAAACAATATTGTATTCCTCGGTTAAAAGACCGTCTTTTGCAAACGGAAACACAGCGTCAAAATTGTCTTTTTGTGAAAGATCTAAATTCGGCACTAAAAAGATCTTTGGAATACTAGCTAAATCAAATTGCAGCCGATCTGAAGTAAAAGAAAAATTTCGTAATTCTTTTAATCTTTAAAGATATAGTATACTATTTATTTATGCTATATTTTATTTTATTATTACTATATTATATTATTTATACTAAATTTTGTAAAGAGAAAATATTGAAATTTAAAAGATTTTGGCAAATTAAACTTGCACGTTTATACAACAAAAAACTGATTTGTTTAAAATTAAATTTAAACAGATTTTAATTTTTTAAAGAAAGATATGACACTTTTTGCAATAAAAATAGAATATTATTTCATGATTGAACTATTTATTCTCAAAGAAATAAACGCACTGGATGAGAAATAAAATTTTAATTTTATTCATTTCTTGCATAAAAAGATATGTAGAGGTTCACTCTTATATTTATTTCAAAATATATCTCTGTTACTAATAATTTTAAGTTCGTCTTCTATGTACAATACATTAAATATTAAAGATTCTTACCTAATGATTTTACCTTCCTAAGATTCGGAAAATTTTGGAGTAATTCATTCGGAGTAGATGGCCTATTTGCGCTGGAATTCATACGCGAATGTTTTCGATATCTCTGAAAGAATGTAAAGTAAAAATATAGATTCTCTGTCGTTCGCGTAATATTTAATAAATAAATTTTATTTTTAATATAAGTATTAGTTACCCTTGCAATCTTTTTTAAATATGTCTCGAAATGTTGCATTGTGATTTCAGGAAGGTAAGGACTCTTTGGAATGTCCACTTTCTCCACAAATCCATCGCCCCAGGTACGTGTTAAAAAATTACTCTGCTTCCCTTTGAAGGGATCGTTTAGGACAGCAGGTAGATTTTGCGCAGCCGAATAGACGGTCCACGATGATCCGATCTCGGATAACTGGCCGTTGCTTTTACGTTGCTGTTGCATAACTGCGTGTTTGGTGGCGTGTGCTATATAATCCTTATCAGAGACACCTTCCACAGGAAGACTAGTGCACACCTCATTGTAGCCATAGAGACATACGAAGGATCCACCTTCTCTGGAACAATGTTGATCTCTTAGGTGCCTAGAACAAATAACAAAATAGTGCATCGTCATATACTATTAATTATAATTAAGGCGGCAGACACATTTTTTTTCAATTACTATTAAAGTGATTCGCGAGTGCCAGTTTTCTGGAGTATAATCAGACGTTTAGTAGACATCGAAATTACAAGTCTGTATAATTTTTGAAGCGCGACTTTAAATTGTCGATGGATTTGTAAAAAAAATCATGAAATATATCGTTGTTTCAACAAAACGGAGCGTCGTGACTGACAGACGTTAGACAGATGGACCCACCTAACGAAGTCTTGAATTTGCTTGAATGTCTGGTTGGTGCAATGCTCGCACACAAAAACCATGGGTACCGAGTCGGATCCTCTCGCGATTTTTGCCATTGCCTGTGTATCACCTCAGCTCACCATCGTGATGTCGAGAGCCGCGTTTCGGAGCACTGTTCCGCCGGAGAGATTCACAGTCCTCACACGCACGATCACTCTTAGCGTGTACACGTCCCCACTTACAAATACACACGTTTTATGATATACACGTTGGCCAACTGAAAAATTAGACAACCGGCTCGGTAAAGGTCACTAACAATAATTCCCTTTACGTGTAATCTTTCATTTGTCATTTTTAAGCAGAGCGTGCAAGTCATTAATAAGTATACGTCATTGTTTTCAATCGCATCGCACATTTTCCATGACTCATAATTTGTATTTTTCAGAGCTCGGAGCACGAGTTATTTTTTCCAGAGCATTGTGAACACGCGTCTTCAGCGTCACGCGCAAGACTGAATCGAACCGACTTGAAACGTGCCGTCTCTTTCAGATGGCGTGTTGGTGAATGGAAGAATATACTGTCACTTTCCCTCCTATGTTACTCCTATTTTCCTTGTCTACAGCTTGTTTCAAAAGACACCGACCTCTTTGCGGGATACATGCTACCGCAGATAATACAATTATTATATCTGCAATTCCTGACATAGTAATTTTAATTCATATTTTTTATTTAACGATTTACATTGTCGTATGAATTACAAATTATAATACACAACATTTGATTCGTTAATTTTAAATATTTTAAATATAGGTCCGAAAAGTCGCCTATTTTTCTCTATATGTAAGTTCGAGATTAATTTATATATGGAACTTAGTAATCTCAAACCAAGAGATACAGTTCCGAAGAATTAATTTTTCGCGCTTTGGCTCTATTGGCCGATTTAAAATTCATGTATTACTATTATTAATAATATTGAGAGCCGACATATATTTCTTTATTATGTAATAGACTTTTGTTTATGATAGATAATAAGTATTATAAATGAAAAACAATTTTATATGAGTTACTGTAATTTTATTTTTTGTTACACACATAGAAAGAGCATTGCTGGTACATGCAGTGTCGAACTTAAAAAAAATCATAAGTGCTTTTTGAATAGGCGATTTGTCATGTTTTCTATCACAAAATTTATTACTTTATATCTCATCAGATTATATTGCTATATTTCTCTATGTATCTGCATTTTTATTTTTATCATTGCTTTCCTGCAATGTTTCGCTCTTTTCGATATGTATATTGCAGCTATTTCATCTCATAATCTTTCATTTCAGTCCGTGTTAGCATCTTTTATGTGTAACAATGGAATATTGTTAATATTTACGATAAAAATGTCTTCTGTTTGTCCTCTAAACTGCTTTAGTTAATCAAGATGACGTTATATAGCATATATAAAATTGTATCGCAAAAAGATTCAATAGAAAATATCTGCAGTATAAAAAAAGATTTAACTTAACAAAAAATGAGTAAAGGGCAGTCTGAAAATATTCTTTTCGTAATAAGTAGGCATGAATAATGTAATTGACGTATATATATATATATATATATATATATATATATATATATATAAATAGCTATCTCTGTGCTATTATCATTGATGAATTCGATTAATTAATATTAATCAGATGATATTGATTCTTTAATTTATTCTTTCGATTGTTATTTTGTGTTGTGCGACTGGCGTTAATCCAAAATTTGCATTGCGAATGAATGAAATGAGACAGATGTTGCTTCTTCAATTTAAACGATAATAATTAACGCCAGCGATTATTGTTATTATCATTTTCGCTTGCTCGTGGTAAAGGTGGTGGCGCCGGTATGACTTGGTCAATCTGCAAAGTTTGTCTCATTTGTTCCTGTTCCTGCTGTTGTTGATGCTGATTTCGGCGTACTTCATGAGCCAATAACTTTTGCCGCTTTTCCTCCATCAGTCGTTCTCGATGCTTGTGTATATAGTCGTATACATTTGGAAGACCCATAATCACACAAGCCGATAATGCCGATCTACATATATTCATATCCGTTGCCTCGTACCTGGTTCGCGTACAATTGTGAACACAATTTACAATTTTTACGCAAAAAAGCGTCTGATGGAAATCAGATGCTTGTGTTACCAGACACCTCTTTTCTTTGTAAATTTGCTTGTATGACTCTCATAAATTTTTAATATTTTGAATTATATAAGAGAGATATATCTAGAAAATTTGTACGAGAGGTTTCCAAACAAATATTTATCATATCAGTTAAACTCATAATTATTTCTTTCAGGTGTTAATATTGTCTTTATATAGTATTGCTTTCTTATAGAGAGTAAAATAGATCGACGAAAAATTAATTCTACATTAATGAAAGACTAATTACCATTCATTTGTTTTCTCATCGTAACATTCCACCTGGTATGTCGTAGTGACACCATTAAACCCACCGATTGCAAAAATCATATCATCTATGACTTCAATGGCGAAGTTGCTACGTGGATTATACATGTCCGGAATATGGCTCCACGTGTTCGTAGAAGGTTTATATTTTTCTCCACTGCACATTCTCGATATTCCATTAAAGCCTCCTTTACAAATTTCAATTAAGTTGCTTGCAACATTTACATAACATAACAATAAAATAAAAAACAACGAAGAAAGCAAATTTTTGTAAAACTTAATAGTGATGAAATTTTGATATCTGTGCGTGGTTGATAAAATTCAACTAAATATGTTTAAGATATATTAAAGCAACTGTAAGCATAAAATAGTTTGAAATACAATTTTTTTTTATATTCGCAAATACTTAAACATATTTTGCAAGTGGCGAAACAGAATTTCTTGCGTAATAAATGCATGTCTTAATACCGATAACATAAACATAGCCGTGATAAGATATACATGACACGCCGCTCCTGCGTGACCTCATTGCAGTTATCATTGTCCACTGGTTGGTGTTTGGATCATATACTTCAGCTGTATTCAGACAGTCGTGCCCATCAAAACCGCCCGTAATATATATCTTGTCTGTAAAGTATGCGGAAAGGAATGATATATTATATTATAAAAATTATAATTGTGTGTAACAGATATTTATAAATATATCTGAAAATTTTTAATTTAATTATTAAAGAAAGAAATTTTATCCTCTCATATTCTTTTTTTTTTTTTTTTTTTTTTTGAGCAAATAGCTTTTTTATAATACATATTTTACTTTTATGTGGATATATTTATTATATGTATTATATGTTCTATTTCAAGTATATCTGTATTTTTAGAACAGTTTGATTACGCTGCGGTCAGTATCTTTAGATTAAATATATCAGTGTGTTTATATTTTAAGAATCAAATAGATGTACCGTTCAAAGTAGTTGCGCTGGCGTCAGATCTCTGCACGTTCATAGGTGCAATGAGAGACCACTGATTTGTCTTGTAATTATAACGTTCCGCCGTTTTTTGCCGATGGTATCCATCGTATCCTCCCATGGCGTAGATCAGATCATTCAAAACTGCCACGCTAACATAACATCTGCGAAATGGAGGGATCGTGATGCGAGCTTTCGTTGCTAGTGATATTAGAGGAGCTAGTCACTGAACTTTGGTTTATATTTGTACAATACCTATACATACATACACATATTTTTATATTTTTCTACGTCTAGCATCAGAGTTATTATATAGTACAGCTCATTTTTGCGATTAATTAGGAAATGTGCATTTATACGTGATTGCAGAATGTATATATAAATATAGTACTCTCTATTCATTTCTTAATTATCTTTATTGCTAATAAGTGGACAATAAAATGAATATCATCCAAATCTTTCGCACGACTAGTAACTAGCCCCTCTGAAATATATTCGACCTTCTAGCGTTCATGGGAGCAACCTCTCGCCACACCTTGGTCACCGCGTTGAAGCAACGACAACTGTTGAAATAATCGACCCCATCGAATCCTCCAATAACATAGATATTGAATCCAATCACCGCAAGTCCATGATAAGCTCGTGGACTGGTTGAATCTGTTTCCTCGATCTAGAAGACTCAAGATCGCATAAAAATTGCTAAAATTCTATTTAAGATGTTTATTTCATTTTAATATAAAGCGTGGCTTAGAGAGAATTATGAGAGCTATTTCACTTAATTTCTTTCATATAAAATAAATGGATTAGTACAAAAAATAATAATAATTTGTATTATAATGTTCACTTTGCATTTTCTCGATTTTTACAGGTTACTTTGCATAACGAGACGCTAATTTTTTTTGCGTTAAAGAAGTTGTACATTAAAATATTATTGATACTACCGGAATCCATCTATCTGCTCTCGTATCATAAGTTTCGATATAATTTGTCGGCGAACCGCCGCTCCATCCACCGATGGCAAATAAAATCTCATGTGGAACTCTAGGTCGCGCGATTTCTGGTGTCGGCACTTCTCCGTCTTTTTGAGTGATCATCTCTAAATCGTACAGAAACTTCAAAGTTTCGATGATGATGGGTCTACACGCGTCATTGCCCACAACGTAAGGATGATCCTTGACATTCTCCAGAAAAAATTGCGTGTCTAAGAGACCGAGTCTAATATTCTTCATCAGATCCACTATGTAATCTTTCCTAGATTCTATATCGTGATTTATCCATCTTAATATCAGCTCCCAAACTGTCTGTTCGCTTTTCACGTTTAGTTCATCAGCGCCGACTAATGGCCTCAATTCCTCGATAGGTAAATGTAAAATTTCTTCGCTTCTCTGAGATACCTGATGTACATCGAAGAGAATGAAATTAGATAAGAGGGGGAGAATAAAATATGTAAGTAAATTATTATACTGATCGTACCTCGACAAAGTGTCCTACAATAAAACGATAAGCATCATTTTCCAACTTTTTGTAAAAATGTTGACGAGCAAATCTCATTACTCCGATGCAATTTTCCGGTGCCAAATTATCCCTTAGATAGTCACAACATAAATCGAGTACACCCAGAATGCTTAAATAATCCGCGGTAATCAACAATTCGCATACGTTTTCACGATTCACATCAATAGATCGTAAATATGCATATTTCAGCAAAAGATTCATCATCGGGCTTGTCACACCTGGTAAAAGGACATCGGTTTTCTCACGAGAATGCAATGTAGTTGTGAATAATGTCCTGTAAAATTAGGCAATAAAAGTTAGAAAAATTAATCCAATACTTATTTTAATTAATATAATAATATATATTATTTATTTTATAAGATTTGTTTAATATGATAATAAGTTATTTATTTAATAAGATAATATTTATTATAATAAATTTAATAGAGAGAGAAATTTATTTAAAATAAAAAACAGAACTAATAGAATTATTAAATTCCACACGAATTATTATTATTATAAAAGATTTTTATTTTAATTTTATATATAATAATATAAATTTGTGTATTTATTTCATAAATAAAATTTTAATGTGTATTTGCATACAGACAAGTAAAATTACTTTTTTCTTAGATAATTGCTATATATGCACATGTACACAAATACATAATGTAAAAAAAGAAAATATGTCGGATAAAATTAAACCTGAAATAAGTACTGCATGCTGAAAGTATAGCTCGATGAATCGGGAAAATACCACCGTCCTCTAATCTTAATACTGCATCGCAAAGCACATTATTTTGTCGAAAATCATAGAGCGATTGCATCGCTTGTGTACTCATGCAACGGCCGCCACTTTCGGCTATCAAACGTTGATTATTTGTATTACATTTTTCATCTTTACTGTTGCTCGTACTTGGTTCTGCATCCATATCAAAATCAGAATAATTGAGACGTTTGATAGTCTCGCGAGTATCAACAGGTTGGATTAGAACATTAAAATATTTTTATTAAATTAAACAGTTTTTCTTCAATAGATCTACGAAAAAGAAAACAAATGGTGAGTATTAATTCCAAGCATATTGCAAAAGATTGCAAATAATGTGATAAAGAAATTTTATAATTATAACATTATAATTTATAACATTAAATTACTTCATTAATAATCTAAAATTAAAGGTTAAAGATGTGATGTGGATTAAAAATTTTTTTATTAGAAATAATGTATTAAAATATAATTAATAAGTTGCTAATAAAGCACTTTTAAATTGTATTGGTTAAGTATATAGATAGATTATTATTATAATATTATACATACGATCAAACTGTTTCGCTATTTGTCTATATTAAGTTGTTAGATTTTTAAAATTGTACGTAGCTTATATTTAATAATTTATTTTACACTTACTTAGTAAGAATAATTATTTCCTGAGAATTTAGTGATTGCGCGGGAGGTTAGTAGTCCGTATCGATCTTGGTATAGTTTGACTTTTACAATTTGCGACTTGATAATTTTTCGATCTGAGATGAGATTGTGATTGCGATGAAGTTCCGCTCCCGATCAGTTGCTGAGAGTGATTAACAATGGCTGGAATGTGTTGCCGTGTGTCGAGTTCATATGTGCCGGAATTTAGAATGTGTCAAAATTTTGACACGTGAAACGGAAGGATTGAAGACCGATTCGCGAATTGGAGAAATGCAGAAGGCCGTGAAGGAGAAATGAAAGCGGTGAGGGGATTGTGTAAGAAGGAGATACGAATTATTTTGTGTGATTTTAAAAGCGAATAAATGTCGCGTCTGGCTGTGACATGTGGTCTTACATGTCCGCCGTTCAATCAGAGACTGCTGTTCGACAAAAGAGATCCTTCTGTTCCTGCTTCATAGTGAGCTTGATACAAGTTTTTTGTTATTAATTAAGTTTTTAATTTATTTCACAAATTGCCGTAAATTATGTGATTTATGAAATAATTTCTCTTATAGGTATATACATTCGTCATTAATTAAATTAATTGTCAAAGAAGAATTTACGTACACGTAAATTTCTTTTTTACACGAGTCATTTCGTTGCATCGACATATCATTAAAGTCACTTGGTCGCCGTTTGATATGTCGACATCACGTATTATCCAAATTTGAGACCAACTTACAAATTACAGGTACAGGTAATTGTCTTGACGTCACATTCCGCTTTCTTCTCCTCCGTGTATTCATCCTCCTCGACTCCTTCGTCATTTCGCGATTTTCTTTTTCTCTCCTCAAATTCTTTTTCTCTCCTGTGCTTTAATGCGTCATGTTTGCAATCTAATTGTCTGCAGTTGTGAACCAAACAAGCGTTATGATCCGGCATTAGTCCGCTAATCGGCAAGATGGATTCAATTGAATAGGATGTGACAAAGTTATTGCTCCTCGAAATACCATCGAAAAATACGTTCCACTTGCTGACGAAGGACTCGTATCCTTTCGTCGTACGGTTTTTCGTCTGCGTTGACGTCTTCGACACGATCTCCTCTGTCCGCGGTGCCTCATTCGATTGCTCGCCTAATAACCTGAATGTCCACGTGACTACAGCAAAAGTCGCTGCATTCGTCGGAAATGCTCGAAGAATCGTCGAATTTAAGCCCCTATATAAACAACTGTAGCCTTCGGCGCGCACGGATTTTTTGAGACAATCCAAAGCCCCCGAATAACGATTGTTACTTTCCGCTTGTATGCGTGACTTGATAACATCAATTGGATAAGAGATCACCCAGGAAGCTGTGCCAGCGAGTCCTCCGGCCAGCAACATGTGAGACGTCGAGATCGACTGTTTCGAGGATGTCTTGGTCAGCATTTCGTAGGTCGCAAAGTACACGCCGTAACTTGGCCCTTCTCTGAGGAACGTAATGCTCAGACCTTTGAAGACGCCACGATAACCCTCCCGCTTGTAGATGTTCCTCAGGCATTGCATCGGCCCGCTGGAATTACCGGAAGAGGATTGCAATTGCAGACGCGTCTTCGCTAACTCTATTGGACTCGAGACGGGAGTTTGTGCAAGTCCAGCGGATGCACCGGCCAAAAAATGTGCTGACAATCGATCAGGTTCGGACAAATGTCTCTGGGTATGCCCATAAACGCCGAAAACGATAGCGTTCACTACAGCCACTCCTGCAAGCGGCGAGGTCATGCCTCTGTAAAGGCCGCTCACCTGTACAAAGATACACGTGAATGGCGACATTAACAGATTTTGTCTGTGAATAAGAGAAACGCGGATTAAAATTGGAAATTCTCTTAGTTTCTTAATTCGGTTCTATAATCAGTTTTTCTTCTTAAATACCGATTCTTTTGCGAATAAGGTGCGCAGGCAATCCCAAGTGCCTCGATATTTCGGATTGCAGCAGTCCTGCGTCTGCATGTGGACTTTAACTGTGTCTAAAGGATATCCCACCATAATACCGGCACATCCTAAAATTGAATAAAATAGTTTTATTATATTAAGAGTTTTATTATATTAAAATGGAAATCCTTAGGATTTCTCTTATAAATGCTTATATATTATGACATATCAATACATATATAAAATCTGCATAATGCATTATTTAATAAATTAAATTATAATTTGGCAACAAATATCATTTTATTCATAAATATACATATATAAAATAAAAAGAAACGGATGTATTAGCTAAATTTTTAATTTATACAAATTTGATAAAATGAGAAATCGGTATTTCGACACATGTTGTTTTCAACTTGCGCGATAAACCAAGTCATGAGATAAAATGACTTTTCTTTGTTATTGGCATTTAATCTACTGCGTGCCATTGAATTTAAAATATTATAAATGATGAAGGATAATCGAGATAAAATTGATTTTCATAAATTTGATTACATTTTAAAATTTTGGAAAGTATAATTAACTTTGCAGTTGATAAGAAAATTATGTCAATACAACTATGTAAAAAATGGTATAAGCAGAATTTTAAACAGAAAATGCAATGCAATTCATTTTGTATAAAATATACTTTACCACCCAAGCAACCAGCGAAGAAATCGAGCGACCAAGCCATCTTTATCCTGTATTATCTACGATCTTTCCACTTGCAGTAACGTCTGCTTCTATGAGGATCGTCCTCAAATCTTGTTCCTTTCAGGTATGCATTGAAAGCTGTATAGGTCGCAAATCGATTAACGGGACCGAGCAATAAATACGAATCCATGAAAGACTGATATATAACTGATCCTTTTAAATTGAACTTTAAATGTGTAGATGACAAAACAACATTCGGCTATTTCTAAAAAAAGATTTATTATTATTATTTCTACGAGTTCAATCTTGGCCTCAACTGCGTATATATAGGATTCACTGTTTCGGAGATATCGTCGTTTAATTAATAAAAAGATAATATAAAATTTAGAAAAAACATGTAACATGTCTTCAAGTATAATATGCACACTCAACCCTAAAATTAGGAAAAAATTAATTTTCGCCGCTTAATTAAAACATTAAAAATGAAAGAGCGTTTTTAAAAATATAAAAAAATATAACAATAACCTTTATCACTATTAAGCTAACTTGTACACTTAAAATAATGAAATAGTTTAAAATAAAATAATGCAATTACAAAAACTATTAAAGGCAATCTAGCCACATTATTTTACCTAATAATCAATTGTTCTAAATATATGTAACACTACTCTTCACTAAAGATGCAATTGTTCTTTATCAGAATGATAATATAGTGTCGAAACTTCACTCGTTAGACAGTATCAAGGCATTGTTAAATAAATTTCGTCACAAGTCACTTTATTGTTTTTTTCCAGGAAATTATATATATATATATATATATATATATATATATATATATATAACATATATTCAGACAAAAGAAACTATTCGGCGTGCTTCCTTCATTGAATCTTCTTTCTTACTGAGAGAGAGAAGCGTTTCTTCCAATTTCCTCTTGGTACAAAGATCGTTACATTATCATTTACATTATCAAATCACAACATACGCGTACATATACGCATACACAGAAGCACTATAGTAATAGTGTACTATATATTATATTGGATAATGTTAATAATGTTTATACATTTATACATTATCACACGACCTGTCGTCGTGATCGAACGAAGTATGTGGGGTCACAAACATTGGATGATAAGATTATGTGATCAAGTCGCATAATATACTCAATATATATTTTACTCTACATTGGTCATTTATATATATAGATGTTTACGTACAGATCATTAATGGTCAGATAATAGTACGCAAACTATTTTGACTATCATAAAAAAAACGAAATACGCAACGGCGATATACTTGATGCAGTACCTAAACATTAGGAGCGATGAATAATTTTTCCAAAATTTTAGAAATCGCAGTTAATTTATTTTTTGTGTTTATCAAAAAAAGATCGCACTCGAAAAGTTCGAAGGGCAATCAGGTAGAAATCGACGAGATTTACAAGTTCACCCTGCGACACTTCTTCGTAAGATTTATTGTCTCGGAGATTTCACCGCCTAACTCTTTTTTATTTTGTTTTTTATTTTTCGAAAACATCGCGACCTAAGGCAAAAATTCAGAACTTGAATAATTATTATAAATATATTTGATACTATTATAAATACATCTAACAATTACATATATAGTCACAATATAAGGCGCAAAATAAGATAATACTAATCAAAACAATCATCATAATTAATTAATTCTTTTAATAAATATAATATTCAACATTCATTAGAATTCATTGTTCTAATATTTAAAAATGATACGAGAAACTGCGATAATTCAGAAATCGTTGACGAAGCACGTCTTGAATGAATGGATTTTGTAGAGACGTTCGAAATTACATGGTCGAGTGCAATTGTGAGTATTCGTGACTAAAATGTATGAAAGAAAAAGTTGTGTGAATAAATAGAGACATAAATCACCGCAGGTGATGCGCGATATGAAACACGATGACAGCTGGTATGTACATTGGTATGTACGACGAGCATGTTTATACCTTATTTAGAGAAACGCGGCACGGAAACAATTGAAGGCCGTCGAAAAATATACTTTTTTGCCTCAGTTTTTATGTGGGTATCGAGTTTTGGACGCATTTTGAGTTTCCGAGCCGTGCTCAGTCGAGCGTAAAGATTGAAGATAACGCGAGAATTATGCGACGAGGAATAGAGGAGAACATGAGATGTTTTCGAAAGAGAAGGACGCGTAAAGGAATAGAAAAAGATGTGTTTCGAGAGTCAATGAATCTCTCTTTCGCCTTTCATTGAATAGAGAAATAAGAGAGATTCCTGTTATTTTTTAATGATTTCACGCAAATTATTTAGATCAAACAATTCAAGATGCCATTGAAATATCGTGAGATATGTCACGTGGATTATAATTAATCTATTTTGTAATGATTTTCTATTGTACTATGAAAATTGAACAATTACAATTTATTAACTATCTATTAATTTCACGTGAATTATTTAATTCTGACTAGACAACACAAGCGCGCGCTTTGCGCACTCTGATATTTTTTCTATTGTTATTCATTTTACAACTGTCAAATTGTTAATCTTCGCAATGACAGTTGTTTGATGCTATGACCATAATTTTAATTTGCCGAATTACTATTATGTACATAATTTAATTCCTGAATTTTTATTATGTACATAGTTTTAAATCGCCGAATTTCTATTATGTACATAATTTTAATTTGCCGAATTTCTATTGTATTGTTTGAGAACTATTTTGTATATAGATGTATCCCTTTATATATTTTTTTCTCATTTTGTTTAGTTTTTTAAGCGAAGTTATATTATTCTTTGATAATAAAACCTTAAAAGTTGCAACACATGTATAAAATTATTATTGCAATGCATGCATAGAAATCTATTTATTAATTACGTAATTCATAAAAATTCTATATATAAATTTTTAACAGAAAACAAAAAATATAATTTTCTACAAGAATTTTTCGATTAAAATATCTGCGCTTTCATTAGATTCGCACGTCTGTATGCATCCGCTACGCTGCACGGCTCTGCAAGTTGTATGATGAAAGTAATTTTCTTTCTATCCTTTCCATCAGATTAATACATCCCATATATCCTTTACGCTGCGCGGCTCGCGCGAGACTGATTCTCGTGCGGGGTATCGCGAACGCGGGCACGATGGTCACATGACTAGTGGTCACATGACTAGTGGTCACATGACTAGTGGTCACATGACTAGTGGTCACATGACCAGTAGTAGTCATGTGACCATCGAGCCCGCGCTCGCATTATCCTACACGAAAATCAGTCTCGCGCGAGCCGCGCAGCGTGATGGATGTGTGGGGTATGGAGTCTCGCGCGAGTCTAATGAAAGCGTAGATATTGAATCACAAAAGATTCTTGTAGAAAATTTTATTTCTTTGTTCGTATTTTCTGTAAAAGATTTAAATATTTAATTTTTATGCGTTGCATAATTAATTAATATATTTTTAATGCATTGATTGATCCTATACGTTGGTATGTTCTTGATGTAACAATAATCTGCAGACAATGTACTATTTAAATATTAAAATGAAATATTTTGACTGGTCCTAAGATAGTATGTTTACAGATTATTTTTACACCAAGAACATATCAGCGTAGAATAGAGATAGAATATAGGATTTTCATTATAGAAATAGTTCTATAATCAAAGATATTGATAGGATATATCAAAGTTATCTTATATATATATATACTTTTCTGTAAAAGATTTAAATATATCAATATTTAAATCTTTTACAGAAAATACGAATAAAGAAATTACCACATTTGCTTACACATTAATAAGGACGCTTACGCATGATGTATGACTCTCTAAACTTTATAAAAAATACTACATTATCTTGCGATATTAAGTTTTCGATAACTTTCGACCTTAGTTCGCATGTAAATAGCTTTCTCTGTATATAGCAATACTTGTTTTTATTCTGTCGCAATGCAAGAGTGTTCTTTCTTCAAGTAACCTGTTAAAACTGATAGCTTCACAACAGTCAGCATCAGTTCTTCCGCGTCGTTGGACGAGTAGAGGTTAATTAAGTCATTTGAAACAAAAGTCACAATCGATTGCGTGAACTTTCGTATTTTCGCACATCACAATGTATGCGCAAACAAGCCAACAATATGATCAAACGTTGAACATCGAAAAGGGAGTAGATGACTCACTTCTTAGCAGTTCACCTCCGGACACGGTAGGGCAATAAAATTATTATTATTAACGAAATGACACAACGTATTATTGCTATATCTGCATGCAATTTTCACTAAGCAATTTTTGTTATCTTATTAGAAATTGTTTTTTTCGCTTCTATAAATAAAATTTTTTCCTGTAGGGATAGAAAAAGTAAGATATACACATAAAATGAGATTGTGAGATAAATGATATTATGAATACACTACACACACATATAACATATACACATGTGCATGTCACTTACACTTACAAAGATAAGGTGATAAATATTGCGTATGCAAAGTTTGATGTAATATATTATGATTAGCACATCATGTAATGCAATCAAATCATAATCAGTTGTTTTTACAATAATATTTTAAGAATATAATTTATAATTTTAAATTCAATTTAAGCTATTATAGTTTTTTTTGATAAATATAATATGATCTCTATTGTTTTTCAGATAGTTATACTACTTAAATATGAATTGATATAGATTATACCATTTTTTAATAAACGTATTTTCTTTTATATATACATGATAATATTTACAACTCTCTGTCTTATGTACATATTACGCATTAAATTGTAATTTTATTATAGATTGGCTGATCGTGTTTTGAGCTGTAATTGCATTGTGAAATTTTAATTATAATACATCATATAAAAAATGACATGCAATACTTATTATCCTCTCTCGAAAGCATACTTATTATCCTCTCTCTAAAGCATACACATATATGTATGTACATAATAAAATAATACGCATGATTCGTATGCAAAAAAATAATATAATGTATAACAATTTACAGCAATTTAAGTTTGCTCAGCATACATTTATCAATGTTTGTATAGATGACAGACATGATGAAAGAAAGTCGTTTCTTGCATACTAGATGTGTTTATAAACAATAATTTAATCAAACGAAAAGAGTTTATATTACATTTTATGATTTCCCTTTAAATTTAAAGAATTGATCTTCGCCATTAAAATGATGCAAAATCATTCACGGATTGCAGCACATAAAGTTTCGTTTTTTTTTGCACAAAAACATTTAATCGTCTGTTTTATTCGCTACGCATATATAATCATATCTTTGCTCATGCATAAAGTAAATGAAAAAAAGTTTGTACGCGGAAACAATTACAACATATCGGGATTTTTAAGTCGTTCAATCGGGTCACGTCTCAAGTAAGAGGGGAGTTCTTACAGTCTTATATATGGATTTGAAAGACTTCTTGATCGTATAGTTTTAACGTGTCAGTTTACCTTACAGTTGTGATACGCGAAAATATTTGAACCATAAGAACGTAGAAATATTTAATTATACAATGATAAATTACACAGAATTATCGGTATGTTTGTGTGATATTAATAAAAGGAATAAATAAATTATTAATTTAAAATTTAATTAAATGTTTTATTAGCGCACGGAGTAAAATTATTATTTATTCATATTTATTTATATTTTCATAAAAATATTTATTAATTAATATGTTAGCAATATAATAGTGTTAATAAAATTTTTTTTCCTTTGAGTTATTTATTTTTAATTAATATTTTTATATTTACCAAAATATATTAAAAAATTTTAAGATATTTAAATAGTAATCTACTGATTGTGAGATTTATTAGAATATTTCTGCAAAGAGAAGAAATTTTTTAAGCAATTATTATTTTGTTTAATGCATTATAATTATTTTTAATTAAATTTTGTTAGCCAAAACTTATCCATGGCGGGAATTATATCAAAGAAGGCAGAGATTCAGCTAAAAGTACCTGCCTAATTTTTTCTCCTACAGAAGAAGATGAAGTTGGATCGTTGGGAAGATATCTCCAACTGTTTGCTGTAAGTGAGATGAAATTTCATATTAGTTAAATTGTTAAATAGTAGAAAAGATGTGCAAATAGGACATCATTTCAGAAACACAAAGTGAATCTTTTGCACATCGAATCCAGAAGTTCTCTTCGACAACCAAACAGTTATGAATTTATGGTGGAATGTGCACCGGGTGGTAATATTGCCTCTGCAATTGAATCTTTACGTGATCAATGCGGTTACTTTTCGATCATTTCGAGGTAGGAGATCTTTATTTTTAGGTAGGAGATTTATTTAAATATTTTAATTATTATATATTTTTCAAAAAGTGTAATTCTTTATAAACAGTAATATATCTATTTATTTTTTTTGAGTTTTATAACAACTATTAATTCTTATAATTTTCTATATCGAACTTCCTTATAATTTTTTTGAGTTTTATAATTCTTATGTTTGAGTAGTAATTATATGATCATAATTATTTGATGCTCTTAATATCTTAAAATTAATCATATTGCTTTAATTTGTTTTATTTTGCTTTTGTGAAATAAGTGATATATAATTTGATAAGTTTCGAATTCACTGATATGACAGAAAAATATCGTATTTGTTTATTCTATGTTCTATATAGTTCCCTATTTCCTTCTTTGAAATGTAAATTATGTTTTGATTACTATAATGTATTAGGCACGCACAATTTTCTTATTAATTAACTTATTTTATAATTATTTAATTTATTAAACTAAATTTTCATCATTCGTATTATGCATATTTAATTATTTGTATTGTTGTTTTTGACAATAAAATCAAACATAAATTTTAAATGCATTCTTAGAAATCACAAAGACAATATGAACACAGTACCGTGGTTTCCGAGAAGAATGCGCGATCTTGACAAATTCGCTAATCAGATTTTGTCATATGGTTCTGAGCTCGATAGCGATCATCCCGGTTTCACAGATCCTGTATACAGAAAAAGAAGAAAATATTTCGCTGACATTGCTTATAATTACAAACAGTAAGTGTGTAACCACGATATAAAAAATAAGATTAAAAAAAACAACGTAGACATTTTTACAAAAAAAATATATTTATATATATTATTAATCAAGAATATTTAAATATGTATCTTATTAATTAAAAATAAAATATATTATGCAATATTTTAGTGGACAACCGATTCCAAAAGTAGAGTACACACTCGAAGAAATAGCTACGTGGGGCGTAGTTTTCAAAAACTTGACTAAACTTTATCCAAAATATGCTTGTAGAGAGCATAATCACGTTTTCCCACTGCTCATCGAGAATTGTGGTTACCGAGAAGACAATATACCCCAACTCGAAGATATATCTAACTTCTTGAAAGGTAATATTCTTTATTCTATATTTTTCTATATACATTGAAAAAAATAACATCAATGCCAGTTTTTGCGTGAATTTTTATTATTTGATTAGTTCAGAATGATCTTTTTTTCTCTCTATTTGCATCATAAGAAAAACAAAAGTTGCTGATTAATTAGTCCTATACGCACAATTTTATTTTAGCGATTAAAATTTTTCTTCAATCTTTTCATCGATATTTTAGATTCTACCGGTTTCACACTTCGTCCAGTGGCAGGATTATTGTCTTCACGCGATTTTCTCGCTGGATTGGCTTTCAGAGTTTTTCATAGTACGCAATACATACGGCACAGCAGTAAACCACTCTACACGCCGGAACCGGACGTATGCCACGAGATTTTAGGTCACGTGCCACTTCTTGCCGATCCATCTTTTGCTCAATTCTCCCAAGTTATTGGTCTGGCCTCGCTTGGTGCTCCAGATGATTACATAGAGAAACTCGCGACGGTAGATCATGATATTTTTATTTATATTGATAAGATAGTATTATATTTCAAAACAGCATTTATTATATTTATTTATTAATTTTATTTATTAATTATTTATTAATTTTCTGTTTATAACTTGTGCGTATAATATAATAACACGACAAACATCTCTGTATACATATCCTATTAATTTTAAATTTTTTCATGAAAACAATATAAAAGTGAGAAAATTGATTTCTAGCACTAATCCAGTATTTTAATTTTGTCAATATTTATCGGTAGCAAAATACTTATTTATAACAATAAAAATAAAAAAAGATAAATAGTATATCAAAATTTATTTTTATAAAAATAATGCTCATAACTTGTTCTTGCAGTGTTTCTGGTTTACGGTCGAATATGGATTGTGCCGGCAAAATGGTGAATTAAAGGCGTTCGGCGCCGGTTTACTTTCATCTTTTGGAGAATTGGAATATTGTTTGAGCGACAAACCAGAACTTCGACCTTTTGACCCGCCGAAGACTGCATTGCAAAAATATCCGATAACGGAATATCAACCCGTATATTATGTTGCCGAAGATTTTGAAGACGCAAAAGAAAAGATGACGTAAGTACGGGAATAATAAATGCATAACAAATGCGTTGATCGAATTGTCTTATCACTCGCTACAAATAGTATTTGTTTTCTTTATATTGTGTGTACTATATGCAATGCCTCTGTCGCAAGCCGAAAGCATAATAATTGACGTTGCACGATAACATGAAGTAAATACGAATGAAATCGTTGATAAATGATAGCCAAAGAGGAAATCTTTACGTTTAATTTTGTTTATTTTAGAAAATTTGCTCAAACTATACCGAGAAAATTCGGGGTCAGATACGATGCTTATACACAGAGTATCAGCATTCTCGACAGTAAACAACAAGTAGAAGCTCTTGTAGATAATGTGAATCAAGAAGTACAAATTTTAATGGATGCTTTAAGAAAATTGCAACATTAGTTTTATTCAATGTACGTTATTCTGTTAATGCATTCTATATAATATATTATAATTTTTTTATACTTACATCATTGAAATATTATCGTATGTAAAGAGATGTTGTGAATAAATTATGATGTTTATTAAATAAAAATTTTGAATAACGTGAAAATTATTATTTTTACATTAAAATTTTGATTTATATTATTCATCTCCGAGATTTTTATTATTATGATATTGTTATAATTTTTAGGAAAAGGATCATCATTCTTATAATTTAATGATTAATTTTCTCAAAATAATTTTTGTAAAGGAAATAATGTAAGAACCTTCTTACTATTTTTTAATTTTAGTATATTAAATAAACATTATAATAAATATGTATTAGTTTGTCTCTTGTTTTTTATTAAAAGTAGCAAATTACAGACAGAAAAACAGAAAAAGAGATAATTAGATATTAGGAAACGTAAAATTTATAAACATAGTTTAGATTTTTGCAGAAAATACTTATTTGAAAATGTACATTATATACTTAAAAATGTATACCTTTATACATATACACGTCTTAATTCATGTTCTCACATATAACATAAAATTATCAATTATCTTTTTCTAGTTTGTTAATAATCACTTTTATGCCAATCTATATCAATTGTTGTATTACATATATATTATACAATTATTTGAAGAACATTATCACATCAATTTGAACGCGTTTCACGAGATCGCGGTTTCCTGCGAATTCCTCGTTGGAATGTTTTCTGGTTTATTTTCATCACATATTTTTTTTATCGAGCAACAATTATGAAATGTTATAACAATCTAACATATATTTGTTTACAATACATTAGATATGTATGAAAGTGATAATATTATACATATACATATTATACATACAACAAAATATATATTACTTTTTATATATTACTTTTTTTATCATCATATATACAAAATCTGTAAATATACCCTGTTCCGGAAAAAAATATGGAGTTTGGTCCCTTTTTTCCAAATGTTATGTTTATCGTCATTTGTCGAACAAATAAATTCAATAAATATGCATTTATGCAATGTGCTCTTTTTTGATCAGAGCTTTTTGATTTATTATGGTAAACTCTTTACATTTTACCGAAATAATTGAACAATCCTCGAGAAAATTACTTAAATTAAATTAATTAAGAATTTAAATTAAATTAATTTTTATACAATATACACATATACAATAGCGTAATAACTTTTAAATGTTTTGCCGCACTTTTTCTTAGCTACAATATATATCTTTCCGTTTTCAAAATATTCTTCATATTACAGAGATATAAATTGTATTTTCTTTATGGCAGATGAATGAAATTTTAGAACCGTCAATTAAATGAAGAAGATTGATACGATTATAAGTCTTGAAAAGTTATCAGAATTATAAAAGTATAATTAGTAAAAATTAGTATTTTTATCTCATTTGTAGATCATTTTACAATGTTTAAATTCTCATAAGTTTGGCACATACAAAGTTTCTTTATATTGTAGTTTTATAATTTAAAAGATATACCGATTAGATCTCGCGTTCCATTAATCCATATTTCATGCAGTGGTTTATCAGAGAAATTGAACATAAATACATCTATATATTAAAAATTGCACGTTATGCTAAAACGTCAATGTTATATTACAATATGTTATATTACAATTTATGCAATATCTGTGCATGCGATATATCACAAACACAGTTATATAATAATTTTTTAGAATAATTTTACATTCGTGACATACACACATACACACATATACACGTTCTGAAAATGCATTTTTCTGTAAATAAAAGAACAATTGCAACATTATCAGATAATAGAGATATTATCTGATAATTCCTTCACTGGGATAAATAAATACAGCAGAGTTAGAAGAATTTAATTGTCAGATAATTGTCGATCAGTTCGAAGACGTTTCTTGTCCATCTGATGAATACAATTAGAGTGTCACAGAATTTAATTTTGCGATGATGTCTATTGCTGATTCGAGGACGCATCTATGTTACCGTAGATCATTTCGGCTTGTTGCGGGCAAATTTGGAAAGACACGAGATCGGGATTATTTTCCTGTTGAGGTGGTCCCTGTTGTGGCTGCTGCTGCTGCTGTTGGTGTTGCAATTGTGAATGCTGTTGCTGCTGTTGAGTTTGAATTATAGCACCTACATTGCCATGCGTTGAATTCGACGATGGACTCACTTGTAAGGAATGCGAAAATAATTCCGTAGGCACTATAGGCACGGTGATAGGTATGGGAAGTACATTAACACCTACGCTACTAGATGTAGGCAATTGGACATTAGTATTGTTGGTGTTGCATCGATTCGCTTGTTGACATGAATTCGACGGATTGTATGATATACTCGCCTGAAACACAAATATCGATTGGTGATTTTTAATGCCTTTCTATAAACAAACAAAATCTGAGAATCCACTATATAGATAGAGTGTCTAACTCTACATAAGATACTATTAAATATATTTTTATATTTAAAAAATAATATGTAAAAAAGATATAACATTTTTTATTTAAAAAATATACGAACATTTAATAACGGCGTGAGAATCCCATATCGGGCTATAAACAATTGTTCCGAAACTCTTCTTAGTTCCTCCTGCTGGTGAACAATCAGCTGTTGTAGCTCTTCGTGTTTTCTTTGTAATTCGTCTTGTATTTGATTCTGTGCAGGAGTCATCACTATGCCCTGTTGATGTAACATCTGAAATATATTCAGGATAGAGAGATTACAAAATCGATAGAAACTTGGAACTAATAAAAATCCTGCTATTTTAATCAACTATTCGCACAAGTACGTAAAATGTTATCAGTACACATCGCATGCGTAATCGTTAGATTTATTCATGAAATTCTATTACATTAAAATTAAATAGATGTTAAAAACCTGTGCATGTACAGAAAAAGTTTTCTCGTTTATAAAAAATTAATGAAAATGCGATAGTATAATTTAAATGTGACACACGCATTGCGCATGAAAATTGCATTTTAAATGCGATTATAATGGAAACTTGTGTATTTTATGACCATGACAGGTGATTTGTATTAATAAGCTATTAATTAGCTATTGAATTCTTTACCTCGTGGGTAGGCATCGTTGAAAGAATAGGAGCAGCAGGCGTCGCAAATCCCGCTGTGACAACTGGCTGTAAATTAACAGTTGCATATTGTGGATCCATAAAATTAGGGCATGATTGATTAACATCCAGCTGCTGCGTTTGTTGTTGTTGTTGTTGTTGTTGCTGTTGCCTACTGTCCATCGACGTAATCGGCTTTGAAACTATGGAACTGCTTGCAGAAGCTGCATTCGAGTGTGATCCGTGCGTTATTTGTGAATGTGGAGAACTTCGTAACGAAACGGATATCGAAGATGTGTTGGAATCACCGCAATGTCGGAGATTGGAAGCGATTGACATCGACTTTAATGTCTTTGATGATTTGTTCGACCATTGCGTCAATGGTGTTTGACAAGATGTTGTGACCTATGCACATATGTAAGAATGTAAATCATTTCTCAAATATGAATATAAAATACAAATTCGCAAAAATGTATTCTATAAATGTTTCAGTTTTCTGTCATTTTTATACATATACGTATTTGTTTTGTATCATATAATTAATATTGCAATAATTATAAAATTCTACGATCGTGCGTATTATATCGCGTCTATAATCTTACTTGTTTTACAGGTATTAAAACGTCCTGATTTTCCGTTTTATCGTAACCCTCCAATTCAGCGCGTAATTCCTTCATTACGTCGACATAACTGACCACGTAATGTGTGCACACGATAAATTCAGGTTTCGAGTTCCACTGATTATACGTGATATAAAATCTGGTCTGCAACCAAATCCATTGCTGACCTTTCGTGAGGAATCGATAATAGCAAGATGTTCCCTCGCCTTTCTGCATCACTAAAAATTATTAAAGCAATTAACAATTTGCGTTGCATGTGCTTTCGTTCTTTTTTCATTTATATACTCACGTGATTCATGGCACGTAACAACATTGTCTAAATCGTCCACGTGATAATAATCGTAACCGGAAGTGCCTAATACTTCAAAAGGTAAGTATCCGATAATGGGCGGCGCTCTGTGATCTAAAAAGAGAAATTTCCATTCCAGACTATGGCGAGATGTAAATTCTGACTTCGTGTTGTCTGTTACAGATAATTCCCGGATAAGTTGAGGAGTCTGAAGACGTCCTGTGCCCACGAATACTAATCTGCGAAATTAAACGTGAATTTACGCTCCGCAATGCGATTTTATTTTTATATATATTTTATACAAGAACAATACTTGTTGTCTGATGCGTTGGTGTTACTATATTTTTGATTCGGCAGTAAATTGTCGACATCGTTATCCTTAACAGACCCTATATAATATAATATAAAATTATACTTGACTTTAAATATCGAATTATCTCATAAAAAACGTTGGTATTAAAAATATATAATATACAATTGAAAAAGTATGTGCTGCAGATTAATAATTTTTAAGATTTTTTACTTACGAAAATATCCGATAAATTGTACAAGTTCGTAGACAGAATCTTCCTGAAAATTGAGTCCGCCTCTTTTAATGTGACACGTGAAAGATATTTGGTCCTCTGTCACAATACAAAAAATTGTGTGTAATAAAAATTGCATAAATTTTTAGCTCTCCATTAATCGTAAATATAGTACCTTTTTTCACAGTTCGTCTATCTCGCGTACTTCCAGGATTCAACAAGACATTATACAAGTGTGGCTGGTCTTCTTGATATGTTATATTATAAATAGTCGTGTTCTCTAACTCGTTCGGAAGATATCCAAGCAGAGATGTAACACTTTCAGAAACATAATAAATACGTCCATTCGAGGAGAAGATAATTATAAATCCGTCCAATGCCTACATTCGTATAAAAGTTTATATGTAAATATCTACATACACTATAAGATTTTCTTTTAGATTTATAAATGATTATAGACAGTTTTACCTCCAATATAAGATGAGTGAATTCTTCGTTAGAGAGAAAAGACGGTTTCCAATCTTCTTGGATCTCATGAACTCTGGATTTAACTGCTATCTCTGAAATAGTTACATATATAATTTACTATCAATTGAAACACACGTTGAAAAGTTTATCCACATGATAAATGCTGCATTATTAAAACACATTGAATATTAATATAAAATCAGATAAAAAATGTATGTCGGCTCTTAATATTATTGATAATAATAATACATGAATTTTTAAATCGGCCAATAGAGCCCAAGCGCGAAAAATTAATTCTTCGGAACTGTATCTCTTGGTTTGAGATTACTAAGTTCCATATATAAATATTAATCTCGAACTTTACATATGGAGAAAAATAGTATATATTAATATAAAACTTCAAATAGTTTTAATTATGAAAATATTGAAGGAGATAAATGAAATGTTGTAAAAATCTTATGCCTACCATTGTGATTCTTTAAAAATAGAATTGTCGATTTCAGAACTGTAGATTTGTCCATTTTACGTGTATTGGCACTAATCATGCTACCGAGTTCGTTCACTAGCATGTTAAATTGATCCCTGCGTTTCTTTTCGCTGAGATTGCGTGATTTGCTAAAAGATAAATATTTATTTATACAAGAATAAGCATTAACAAATTGTATAAGAATTTTTCTGTGCCTTTACCGCTTCGTGTCGTCTTTATCATCCATATCATCGTCCATGATGAAGACAAAACGTGTATTTTAATTGGTACTAAAATTGACAAAACTTTTTGGAGGAATGTGTATAATGTATGCTTCTCTTGAGTTGGTATTATTATTGTTTCTGTAGAAAAAAAATTACATTCATATTAAGATATTTTATATTAATTTTACATATGCGATGCGTTCCATTTTTATGATACTTATTGTTAGTAGTAGTAGGATATAATTATAAAGAACGAGAGATATTTAAAAATTACAGTGATCCTTGATATTTAATAGTCGGAAATATTAAATGGTAATTTTAAAAGTAATATTAAATATTGATTTATATTTTGCAAGAAATGGACAGACATGCGTTATCATAAAAGCATAAAAGATAACTAAAAAACGAGTTTTTAAAATAAAGTTATATATATCAAAATCATATTACTTATTCCACTTATAAAACATCTATAATCTATTTATGAATAATTATTTTGTATAACATTGTTTTATATATTTATCCAAATTAAACTTTATGTTATAGAAGTAAAAGAATTATGGTTTTAATTAAAACATATCATACGTAAATAAATTTTTATTATTTTTCATTAAAAATGCGACATTAAACGATACGCGAGTTGCAGAAAAATTAAAATTAAAAACTCAATATTATATGTCGATTTAAACAGTAGAGTTATATGAAATTTTTGCGAACAAAAAATAATTTTGGACATTAATAATTATTATAAAATAATATATGGATCTATTCTTTTCATTTTCGCATAAATTCTGATTATTTTCCGATCTAATGAACATTGTTTTTGAATACGTTATAGCATTGAGAATCCGATAAAATAAAATTAGAAACAATTTAAAAATTCTGAAATAAAATATGCAACATCTGTCTCGATATTAGATTAAAAGTAATTATTTGATTTAAACATCGTTTCAAAAAATTAACACATAAAGGCAGTTATATTTCATTGCAATTATGGTATAGCTTATTATTGCATCAGTGTAATATGTTTGTTGATATGCAAATAATAATTCATTTTAATAATAGTAGCATGGTTTTTATTTTAGTTCCAAAGAAAATTGATGAACTGAATAAATTAGAAATCAGTGCAATCTTCGACCTCAGCATAACAAAGTGAAGTGGAAACAACAACCGCGTGCTACTAACGTGATTAGACGAAGCCATCCAACTGTCGATATATCTATCACATTTACGGATATGCATTTTGACATTTGTCATAGATTCAAATTGTATTACATATAATTGAACTTGTAACAAAATTAAAATTAACATTTCATAAATACACAAGTTCTTTCTTTGACAGTTGACAGAAACTAAATGATTAAGCAATAATGAGATTAATTAAGCTAATGAATTCAACTAAAATAAAAAATTATTTTATTTTATGGTATATAGCAATTGTATAAAATATTCATGTTACATAAAGTTTTATTATCACAATGCAGATTTCAAAGTATGTTTGTATCATGTATATATAATATTTATAATGTTATGTTATTTAATGCAATACCTGTTTTGCAACATGCAGATGTTCCCGAGGTTAATGATTCTTAATGTGTTTCGCGCATTTAAATAGATTTTTTTGTAGAATAACTTTTAACTACTGGTTCACAATACGCTATGATAGATAATTGCAACAATCACATGATCATAACAATTTTTTCGAAAACATATTTGATGAAACTTTTCAATACACATTCGATATTTCATTCAAGAGTTGGTAGAATTGACAATTATTAATCCAGTTGATAAATCCACAAAAGGAACAATATTAGATTTAATGACCATGAAGTTTGATTTAATGATCATGAAATATTGAAATCCAGTCCGGATTGTTCTCCGAACGACAGACTACGAAATTAAAACTAGTTGCCTCAACCGCGAGAGGAGAAACCACATTTACTCGTAAATATCCGCATCGGCAAAAGTTCAGATGTCTCACTCACTTTGATTGACAGAAGGAATGCTCGCGCAAACATTCGCGCTCGTTGTATATCGATTTTACTTGCACACGAGTTCTCAAGTCGAAGGAGTATGTTGGATCTCCTGTGTCTTTCGCCGATTGTTCCACAACAATATCGCATTCAGTCGCACACGATGACGTTCTCGTGGATTGCACCGTGACATTTTTCAGGTAACTGACACTCGACACGATCCATCCGCTTCGATGACAATTACTCCAATTTTCTATGACGCCTCGAGGTCAATCACGCTGATCACGATTGCGAGATGCCGTCATGGACTGCTGCCGACTGTAGCGCCTTGCATCCAGGTTCATTAGCCGCCTTGCCGAGCCTAATCGATCGCGAACGCGAGTTTTTACGCGCGATCCGGTGATTGCGAAAACCCGTACAGAATACGGAGAGTAGGCCAAGTAGAAACAGACGAGCCAGAATTGCCAACCGCCTTGTGGCAAAAGTCCCCTTCGCTCAGAGAAACGAGGCGCTTATAGAATACAGTTATACTGTGCTGAAATCTCAGCTGCAGTTTGTATGAATTATTACTAATGTGTATGCTGAACTCGCTGATTTCAAAGTGGCTTAGCGTATCGTATTTTAATTTCGCTAAATGGAGCATCAGATTTATTTTTACAAAATCGACATAGATGGAAATGTATGTATTTGTCTCTGTTAGAAATATATTTTTCAGAAGAATCAAATTTTCTTTTCGAGAGAAAATAATTGGATCTAGAAGATTAAAGGTTGAATTTTTTAAATCTCGCAGTGATAAAAGATAATATATGGTCAGACATTTGATTTAAAATTGCTGTCAATGGAACAGATGCAAATTAAAATAAACATTTGTCAAAAATGTATGAGTTTTTGTATTTGCTTACTCATTTCATTTATTTTGAAAAAAAAATTCGATAAAAATCAAAGATGATCTATCGCTCCTATGTTGCCATCATTTCTGAGAAGAGAGTAGCAAAATCTCGCTCGTATTGTCCATACTGGACCGTGTCACTATGACTGCCTCACGATGAATTTTCACGTAGCGAAAATGAGCTAGAGAGCTGTTTTCCGATAATGCGCAGTCGCAACTTTATCGCTTGTTGCCGTCATGCATTTGCACAGACTCCGCAGTGAATGCGCATAATATATTGCCTCGCGGCGCACATTCAAGCATGCAGCGATTGGTCGACCGCGGTACATTTCAAACATCGGCTTGCACAACATGCATTTACTATGCTGTGCACCAGCAGTACTAAGTTATCAGCAGCTAACTAAGCATTCACCAAAGTAATTCGCAACTGTCGTGTGACATCTGATATTTCTCGCACGTGAAGTATCATCGCAGCAAATTCTACGAGATGTGCAACCTTGTTTCGCGAAGAGAGATCATCGCACAATTTTTCACTGCCAGGTATAATTTTCTTTTTCATTGGAGCGGGGAAAAAAAAGCGAAATATTCAAGTATCTCACATATTAATATATTTATCGATTTAATAAAAAAGAATTTTTTTTATAAAAGTTGAAAATGCACATCAATGCTGTTCTTTCAAAAATTATTTTAATTAGAAGTAAAAGGCTCTGATAGAAATATCTTAATAAGGAAACAGGCGAATTTAGAGCTGGGTATAATACATAAATACCTTAATATATTATTTGTTTTTAAGGACTGCAGCAAATATTAATGGGTTTAATAAATGCATGCATGATTAGATCGCTTAATATTTGCTGAAGATGGTTCGAAACTAGGGTTGAAACGTTTGAAATAAATAAGTAACGTATATAAAAAATAATTAACACACTATTTATCGCGCCTGACTCTTAATCATCCAGTTAATCTTTACTAAAGAATAATTATATCTTAAAAATTATATTGTGCCTATTCAGTTATGTAATATTATCGAAGTTTCAGATGTTTGCGACTTAGAAATACTCACCGTTTTTTTTTTTAACGCGTTCTTCTTCGTAATCGCTAATTAAGAACAAGAGATATTTCGTATACGATGAGGGAAAATGAAACACACAGATAGTTCAATAAATTTTACATAATATTTATTATTTATAGTGTACTCAGAAATGTCGGGCCTCAACCAGTGGGCCTTCTTCTTTTGACATATTTGATCAATGAACATCACAATGTTAATTTTCCTCTAGTCCGTATAATTACTTCTCTTCTCTATTAAGAGCGACGCGCAATCTACTCGTGTCGCTGCGATGGAACGTACATTATAAGAATTAGAACGGCCTATCTCTGCATTGTACGAAATACTCCAGATTCTCTCGTTCGTCGCGCTGAACAGGCCATAAAACCGCGAGATCAAATTTGCTCGGGAGAACGACGGACAAAGTAGATTGTCACGAGCGGTATTTAATGCAGCGGTCACGTTAAAAGTAACACGTAAAGCTCTCAAACGACGTAACGAGCGGATTGCGGCGTCGCAAAAAATAGATATGTCCAGCTTCGCGACTCTTGGTTCTCACTCACGTTTCAACATGCCAGCATATTCGTACAACAAAACATCGAATAACAACTGCATATAAAAAACAAAATGAAAGGAAGAGGTCTATATCTCAGTCGCAACTCGTCATAAGTTTTGAATTTCGTTCGGCGCGCGTATTCTCGACAATCAATAATATCCGATAACTATATTAAAACGCAACGTGTTGTATTAGTAAAACAGTTTCTTTCTTTACGTATTGGATAAGTCATCGCCAAATTTACACAGTCCATTTTTTTTTCTCGCCATCGGAAAACAGTTTCGCTTTATGTTGTCCATTCCGGGCCGACATTCGAGGAGTTCCCAAAAATGATGGGTTTTTTTTAAAGTAGGGGATGAAGGAAGAGGAGGGCGGGAGAGGGAACGGGGGGAGTGGATTTTGACTTTCCTTTTTTTTCTCATATTACAGCAACCAACCACATTCCCACTGTACACGCCTCTTTTTCTGTTCAATTCTTCGTCCTTTCGCGGACAATGCAAAATTAAAATACGCACGCGTCGAAGAATGAAACGCCCTGAATCGGACAAGAATTTGCATTCCGACGCCGGATTCATCTCTCGATTACGTTATTCGTTGAATTATTTAGTCCGTGACGTTTCCATCTTCGATGCGATAAATTGAAAATTCTCCGCAAACCAGTCGTTAAAAATTCAAGATTATCAAACTGCAACAATGCCTTTCTTCTATTATTTTTTTTTCTGTTGCATTATAGTATTGCTCAATTTTACTTTATTACAGTATAGGAACAACTAACACCAATCTGATTTTAAGTCATCTAGTTGCTAAATAAATTTAATTAAAGAAATATATATTTTAAAATGTGCGTATTTATATTGAAATATATCTCTATTTGCAATAAAAATATATTTCACAAAATTCACACATATGTGCATTTAAGAAATATATTCTTTTTATTCCGTTTCCACTTTATTCTACAAAGATAATATAAGTTCGTATCTTTGTTACAATCCTTTATTGTCAAAAAGAAAAATCAATATATAATGTATCTTCAGTTTAAAGTGCAGAATTTGATTTATTAAGAAAATCTCAATTGTTATATCTATTATCTCTTTAATTATTTCTCTTTAATTATTTCTCTTTAATTATCTCTTTAATGCTATTATCTCTTTAATATAAAATGAAGTTTTGTTAGCGACATTGAAAACGTCGGGATTGTTAATTTCGGAGTAATTGGCAATTGATTATTTACTTGATCTCAAATTTGTATGAAGCCACGATGTCACACTTCGAATCGAAATCTCAACGACTGGTCGGCGGGTTTTGCTAATAAATGCGGAGGCGGCAGTGGCGCGAGGGTACATTTAAGTTCTCATTATATAGGAATCGAGGGGACCCCCAATATATTCGAAAAACTTGGTAAAAATATCAGTATTATATATATATTTATATTTATATATATATATGTGTGTGTGTGTATATATATATATATACCTCGCGCCGCTCTTGCACGCCCGCCCGCTCTTCTGGCCCACCTTAATTAATTCTCTTAAACCTCCATAAACACACCTCGTTGAACTTAGCGCTATACGAAATGATCGTTACGATACGAGATAATATATATATATAATATATAATATATATATTTATATTCTACATTACATTACTATGTTCGAAAAATAATATTACAATATATAGTGTATGTGTGTGTTATTACGTGTATTACAGTATTATTTTGTGTTTCTTTCGCTTCTTATTCCTCCTCTCCTTCACGATAGTTTACCACCATTCTCGTACTTTATCGCTTTTTTTCTTATTATACGCGCGGTAATTTACGCCTAAAATTTACAATTAGTTATACACAATCTTAACGCTGCTGAGAAGAGGTCGATGACAGTGCGTAGATCAATCTGCATTGCTGAATTTGTTATAAAAAATTATGTGTCGTAATGAGACGAGTAGAATGACTCTGGCTATATAAAATTGTCGTATAATACTAAACAATGTTAAGCTATTATGTCGATAGTACCTTTTCAAAGAAATGGTTTGTTCTTTTCTCCACGATTCCATACTCGACAAATGTCGATAAATTGAAGGTGTCGTCTTAAAGTGAGATATTCAGTCCAATACGTATAAGCACAAGTCTTAAAGTGGAAAAAAATTACAGAACACATTATCAAGAAATCTCTAAATACTTATATTAAATAGACATATTTATTTCTTAGAGATTTTATTCGGAAATGTTTGGTTTTTTCAACTATAAGACATCATAACAATAAAGATCGAATCGTATCGCTATTAAAAGAAAATCGCCTTTAATTTTCAAGTCATTTTCATCTCGCAAATCAATCATTCTTAATTATTCTTTTCAAATTACGGAGATAACAAAAACTAACTTTGAAAAAAGCAGTCTCCCGCTTATAATCTATCACGGAATGCCTTATGAAATTTATTCGTAGCGTTATACGGAATCAGATTGCTCTCAGCAGCGCTCGCAGTTACATTACCAAATCCTTTCAGTGTGTATGTATGTGTATGTGTGTCTGAGTGTGATGTAAAACCGCTAGGCGCTTCTTTTCTCTCTTTCTCTCTCTCCCTCTCTTTCTTCTTTTTTTTTTTAAATTTGAATAACAACCATCTTTCAATTTGTTTCACTAAATATATCACAAACTGCCGGCGGCTAGTGCAGCCCTCGCTATTTTCGCTAAACGCGGCGATTGCCGTTTTATATAAAACGCTTTCAATTGTAAGCGTTCTTGCTCGTGTGCTGATACCGATATTGGAAACGAAGCGTTTAGCGCGAACGCGCGAGCTACCACCGGAAAAATATAACGTTAAGGGATTACATGTTAATAGTTACATCACTGTCGGAAGACGCAGTGATCCGAAGGATCGTCAGGATACTACCCTCGCGTCTATATATCCAGAAAATCCTTCGTCCTCGTCCCCAACGTACGGTTAGTTTAAGTGTCGAACTAGTAATTTTCCGTATATTATGCTGCCACAGAAGATTCTCTTTATATATATTCTTAAAGTGTAAATATCTTTATAAATTCATGACCTTAAATATTTTATGTAATTTTTAACTTTTTTTTTGTTCTTTAATCTTGTGTAGATTCCCGATAGAT